TTTTTTTTTTTTTTTTTTTTTTTTAGGACAACAGATAAAGAAAAATCATTGGATTCTGTAGATGCACTTCTAAAACGGCCTCCTAGTTTAAGATTAGCAGATTCTGGGGATACATCTGATATCATCAATTCTGATGAAACACAATGCAGATTTAATCCTAATAGTTACCAAATGCTCTATATTGCTAGTAAGGAAGCATTCCTATATAAACAAAATTCATTCAGTCGTGCCAGAGAGGTATGTTTAATAATTAAAGCTTAAATATATATTTTATTTGCTAACGATCTTCGATATTTGCGATATTACTTATTTGCTTCTTCAACAGTGTCATCCAGCTGTGACAAAACATTTGAATTCAAAATTCCATCAATGGTTGGCATCTTGGGCATCTAAAAATGTTGCGGACGTTCAGCATCGATTATGTCAAGATTGGTTGATGGGACGTTACGAAAACTTAATTCCTCATAAGACACGAGTGATCACAGACAATGACCAAACGAGATCGCCTTATAGACAATACAATCGTTATAGAGTGGAACGTTTGCAACCTGATCTTCTGACAGAATCCTGTGTATAATCATATGTCTTTTATCATTTCTTTACCATGAGAGATCTCTCTTATCATTTCTTTATTGAGAACTCGTTTCGGTAATCTCACATTCATATTTTCTGTTTAAAACAAATTAATAGTTAAGAGAAAATTATCAAGGCAAAATTAAAGATGATTCTTGAATTATATTGCGTGCACGTACAACGAGATGCATGTTTTATTTTGCCAACGAAGTTCATCGGGAACGAAGAAGGTGCAGAAATGGTCATTAGAAAAGAAAGTATCGAAGACTATAACGAATCGTCTTTACATTGTGTACTACACTTATTCATTCAATTTTTACTAAATTTGATTCTTTAACTGTACAGGTTATAAATAATCTGATGCAAATGGAAATATCGCTGATTTGTTGTTGTTTGTCTAAAAGTTTAATGTAAAGAGTCTCTTCAATTTAAAATATTAAATAAACTATCGAATCGAATATTAGAAGAAAGAGAAACAGTTGTAACGAGCGATATTTCCAGTTGTATTAAAGATCAAGCTTGTGATCAGGTAATATAAGATATCTAAACGTAATGTTTCATTTCCGAAGATCGAATACTTTCCGATATAATTAGATATAGATTTTCCAGGTAAGGTTTTACATAAGAGAGTAAAGTTACGGTAAAACTTTTGATACTTTATGTAATATCTTAAAAGATTTAGAAAGAATATTCTATCGTCATGTAATTGTCGTTTATAAGCGTATTGCAGATTCAGTCAATTTTATTTTATTAAGTATTTTATTTTTATAGAGAGAGAGACTTACACGATTGTAATTGAAACATTAAATATTGTTAGTAATTAAAAATCTATTAAAATTTCGATTTACATATGTTCTATTATTTAAACACTTTCTATTTATATATAACTAAAACGTAACAGAATATTGGATTATAATAAATTGGCCAAAATTGTATACTTTTTTTTTAATAATATAAATTGTATATACATGTATGTAAAATATCTTTCATTCGAAGTTTTTAATAACTTACTTCTCTTATTTTCTTACGAATATGGTAATTAGAATTTTCGTTCTCTTAAATTCGGTATACATACAATTATATGTATAAATAAATACATGCTTGTATATATATATATGTATGTGTATATATGTGGATATATAATAATTGAAGACATATATACGTATATACACATATGAAATGAAAAAAAACTAGGCCTTATTTTTTACCTGATCTTTAGGCTATTCGATAAAAACTGTAAAATATTTAAATATGGCGGTGTTCCTGTACAGTGCAAAGCTGTTGACAACATTAGAATGCGGTGTTCATTGGGAAAGACATTATCTCATCACGCACGAGATATATGGTTGATATTATTTTATGTTATTATTAAGTATATATCTTTTTATTAGTTCTTTTACTTTGTAAGTCTATGCATGAGATACAAACTATGAACTGATTAAACATTTATAAATTATTTTTTATACTGTTAATATTGATTACAGTGTTTAAGATTTGCATTAGATTTGAAACATTCACAAAAAAGAAAAAATAAAATAATTAGATGAAGGAATTCGTGCGTGGTGAAAAAAAATAGCACATAATTTCTATATAAAATTTAAATCTTTATAATAATATAAAAAAATGAATGGCTTTCATTATATGGATTTTCTGTGATTTTCAAGACATTCAAGTAAAAAATAACATTTAAAAAATACTGACGGATAACAATGTATACATAAATTTTTAATTGAATACATTTTTATCCTTATTTAATTTAATTGAAGTCTTGACGTCTCTATTTTTCTGATTAATTTTCAAAAGATGCCATTTTACATTCATTTAGACATATAAATACAGATACACCGTGCTACTCAGTTATGCAATAATACTGCCCCCACCCCCTCATCCCTTGTACATTAAACTGTATATCTTATTAAAGAACAAAGAAAAGAGAGACGCGGTCTTCCGATGCTCGACTACTTGTGACTATTGATGATGAATGATGATAGTGTATTTTATCGAGAAATTGCTAATTTTAAAAGTGTATGTCCATGTATCAAAAGTGAATGTACAGGCAATTTTATTACTCGAGATAATAATTTAATGTTGATATATTTTGCACAAATCATTATTAATATTAATAAATCATTAATATTATAGCTGTTTTATTTGATTTATTAAATTATTTTCAGGATAATTCGCAATTAATTCATCTATATTTATTAATAATTAAAAATTGAGGTAAGTGATAGAAATGATGAAAGAAGGATATAAAATACAATATAATATTTCCAGCAACATTACTTATTTTTATTAAAAATGATAACATTGATAATCATTGTACAACTATAGATAATTTAATCTTCCTGTGTATTAAATATTAAGTGAAATACTGCATATGAATACATTGCCTGTACTATTTTCTACACGCTTTCTTGAAATAGTAAAAATATTCTAAACTATTAATTCATTTAAGTAATGTTTAAGTGGTTTTTCTAATAATAAAAATTTTTCTAAATAATTAAACACACACATTACATTTAACATATTATTAAATTCATAAATTTTGAAATATTTTTGATGTTATAAACGTGTAGAAAAGTGGTTCTATATAATTATTTTTCTGTTTTATCTTTTCATGTATATCTATTGCAATGCAATTAGAAACAAAGAATAAGATGATTTATCATTCTTATCTTTCATTAACTCTGTTTTGTGTTAATATAGTTGCAAAGCAACTGCAAGACGGTGTAATATCTATGAAATGTGAAAAATGTTGAAAAATAATTGTTGGGGCAAGAACCTCTTTGGTCTTTGAATAAAAATTCGAACATGGCATTTATAATGAATGAATGATAGTTATAATTGATGAAAGAAATATAATTAGATTGTAAATTAAACTACTATTTCATCCATCAATTATATATTACTATTGCACGTTATAAATAATCGATAATGATATACAAAAAAGATTCAAAACAATTTTCCCTGTTAAGTACAAAATTGTGAATCGTGCCTTATCAAAATACTGTAACCTATACTTGCTAATTTTACACCACCTTGAGTACTCTTAAGGTGCATATTAACTTAAGAATAGTTAAATGTTAATCGCTGATAAACTTCGATAAAAAATAAATTCGTTTACGTAACTGATATTTTTAAATTCAAATATAAATCGATATATCGAACCATTCGTCGAAGTTTGTCATCGATTGTAAGAATCGATTGCTAACTCGTATTTGAAGGTCGAATGATTCAATTGCATCATTATTATTGATGAAATATTTAAAAAATTTTACATTTGTCTTCTTTTTAAACAAAAGATACATTTCTCGTAAATTTCAATAATAAATTTTATATTGGCAATAAAATAGTTTTATGAAAAATTGAAAAAAATGATGATCGAGATGAAATTTAAATGATTCGAATTTTAAATGATAGTTCGCTTACTTTAAGTGTAATAAACGAGCTATAACTTAAGAATAAAATTACAAATTTTCAAATCTTATTAAAGTTTGATACAAACTCGAATCTTCTTAGACCTGATCTTATTCATTCTTGAAATATTTAAGTAACTTTTTTATATAACTTAGATATTTTTGATGAGACAAGTACAATTCATTTGTGATAATTTAGCTTGATAAAATCAATCAGGTCTGAAAAGATTTCATTTCATACTTCCTTCTATTTCATATCAAGAGAAAGTAAAATGAAACTTACTTAACTTGATTAAAATTCAAAAAATTAAAATTCAAAAAATATTGATGCATATTAATTATTGCTTAATTACCTTATGATGAATTTTCTATATGAATAATTTGAAGAAAAACTGCAACTTACGGCTTCATATTCCGTGCGTCTTGTGTATTCCGAACGATAGTAACTTAATTTCCGTTTCTATTCTCAATTTACATTAAAATTAATGTGACACTGCGATATTTATAATTTTTTTTTATCGATTTTTAACGAAATTGAAATTTAAAATAATTTACAAACTAAACGAATTTGAAAATAGCGCCACTGCACGAGACTTGCTTAATAGCAGCGCGAAATTTATACGCAGTCTTTCGTTACCAGTCATAGGTGGTGCATCATTCGAAGACCCAATTCGTCTCGTGTAGTTAAAGGTAAAATTAATAATTTTAAATACTTTTTTTTGCTAAAACTATGAAAAAATTGTAAATAATAATCTCAAGAAGCTTTTTATATAAGAATATAATAAGAATATATATAAATAAATACTTTTTATAGTTAAAATATATTCTAATATTCTTACGCCGGTAGACCAGTATTCCCATATTATACGTTCAAATAATTTGTTTCGATTTTCATCTTATTCATCTATAAATATTAATAATTCGTTAAAAATCTTTAAATACAATCAATTAATTCTTGATTTATGCTCTAAATTTAATAAATTTCGAATAAAAAATTTCCGATATTGTGTCTTGTCTCTAATTTCGATTATCGAAATATATCGAAATATATCGCGGCCATATTTGATTTTAAATCTAACCGATATTTGATTTCGTTTCCGCAGTGTTCGTTCAAATATTAATAGCACTTAGACAGGCCGCATAAAATTATTTAATATATATAAATTGTGATATTGTGACATGTTTTTTGTTATAGATTTATATACGCGAGTATAATAGTTGACATAATATTTAAACAGAGTGTCAAAGTGTTTTTTGAAAAACGGAAAATTCACTTCGTTCAATGGAGCCATGCATGAGACAGCAATAAGGACGGTGATGCCACCATGACCACGGTTGTTTGAGAAGATGTTTGTCATTCAGGTATGTTTGTTTATCATGTTTCTTAACTAAGATAATCCATATCTTCGGCTGTCTCGCCTTCGATGTCATCCGCTGTCGTATTTTGACGGCAGTGATATACGTATGCACTCATAGATACATTTTCTCCAGTGCGTACACACTTATACGTTTCATCAGGACACTTGCATCTAACACATAAAAAGAAACAATTTATTGTAATAAAATATCTATATATAATATAGATATAAAAAAGTCAAGTTTTTAATTTAGCAAAGTTTATTTGATATTAATTTGAATAATAAGTTCATGTATACCATTATTATTTGTATAGAAGAAAATAATGGAATAGATTAAGTATTCATTGTGGCAAATGAATATTTAATAAAGAATATTTATCGTTCCTTTTTATCTTGAAAAAATTACATATTAGTTCATTCATAAGTATATAATTTTAATACATTGTTGACGGTATATAAAATGGAATATATAAAATGGATTGAATCTTAGTTCTTGGATATTTTTAGAAATTATGCAAAATATAATGGTTTATTTCGAATAATTGTTTAAAATTAAATTAAGATCCTATAAAATATCTTGATTAGTTGTATGAATTGAACTTTTTAAATTCAAATGGCGATTTTCAGAATAAATCTTCATATTTGACTTTACATGAAACTCGAGTAACGAATGAAAAATGGCAATAAGTATGGAACTTCCAAGTCCATTCCGAATATCAGATTTCAGCGAGTATCAAATGTCATAACAGAAGGCTTATATGTTTTTATCAAAATTATAAATAAGCGTAAAATGCAAGGAATCAATCGTTTATCATTGGAATTTAAAATTACTAGTTAAATAATAATTTTAATAACAATGATGATGAATTTGATTCATCATTAATATAATTTATGATTATTGCTGTTAAAATTATTATTTGAAATATATGCTTATTAATTTCTATCAATATCTGAGAAATGAAAAACGCCATTTGATATTTCCAATCACCAATATTTTTTTATTTGAGAAGAAAAAAATGCTAATTAATATTTTTCGTTAACGATATTTGAAAATTGAAAGATGTCAATTGATATCTACAATATCAAAGTTAAAGTTTTTGCTAATTTATGAGAATAGACAAATATTAATTATTTATGATTATTCATAATTAATTTATTATAATATTTTGTAAATATTTCATGGTAAGTATATTAATATATTAAATAAATAATTACAAACAATAATATAAATAAGCAAATATATTAATGAAAATTATATATAATTATACAATATTATACATATATATCATATATTAATGCAATAATAAAATTATTACATAATTCTATTTAAATTATGTAATATGTTAATGTTAAAAAAATATACATACATATTGTACTACATACATTTATATATACATATTGTATTATATACATTTATATATAATAATAATATTTAAATATAAATATAAAAATTCAATCAAAAGATAAATTAAAATAATATTTAAAAGAGAAATATATAATTATATCAGATATAATTTTCATAAAAATATTTGCTTTATGCTGTAGTATTCATAATTATTTTGATCATTATGCATGCATAATTCCAACTTACGTATTCGGCATGAAAATCGTGCTTCGCCGAGTGACAGGATTGTACGTATTCCATCCGCAGGGTGTATCATAACAATTCCGTTTCGGACGATCGTCATTTCCGCTTTCGGTTGCTCTTTGCGTTCTCAGGTTATCGGGATGCATTTCGTGAACAATCCTGCGTAATTGTTCGGCAAATTCCTAACAAGAAAAAAATTACAACAAATGTTAAAAATTTATATATTTTTTTTTTTTTGCATAAAATTCAATTAAAAATATATTTAGAGAAATATAGTAATAGTTAGATATAGTAATAGTAATAATTGAAATATAATTGAATATATAATTTTGAATTTTAGAAAATTCCAAAAAAAAAGAGAGAAAATAATTTATATTTGCTATACGCAAAGATTAGGGAATAGAATATTGTGATAGATCAGATTTGGTAAAATAATTGGTACACATTAGAAATATTTTGAAAGATATTGAAATATTTTTAGAGATTATCTTTTACATATTACGCATTAAATTATCGACGCAATAAGATCATCAATGCTATCGATTTCGCATTTTGAAAAAAAAAAAAATGTTGAGTCTTGTACGCGTTATGTTATCGTGTATTTGAAGTGTGAAATCATGAATCGGACGAATTGCAATCATATCGCATACGATAATGTTCAAGTTCCATTTAATGAACGTAAAGATATAGTATCGCTAAATTCGTGATTTACAAATTTTCAAATATATAAAATATGAATATTTTTTTTAAAGACTGATATAATATATTCGATTTGAAATATCATTGATGACATAAGTTACAAAATTTTGATAATATATCTGTTACTTTATATCATTTTAGAAACCATGCAATTTAAATTGACTTTAAATATTCTTTAATTTTTAGAAAGAATTTTTGTTAAATAAAATATTCCTTATTGTTATTATATTTCCTATTTTTCTCTTGCAATTTAATTAATGCAATAAATTCAAATCTTGTACACGTGAAATTGTTTCAAATCCCAAACGGGATTCAAATATCACGTATTAATAAAATTTCTTCAATATAATACGAATTCTTCGTGCTCAGATCAGAAATATAAAAAAAAAAAAAAAACCAAATTATTCATGCAAATTCGCGATCAAAAAGTCATCTCGATCATCGATTTTTATTTCAACAAGTACATCGATTATGATAAACAGTTATGATATATATCTTACCTCCGATCTAACTGCCGCACTATTGGAATATTGGACGGTGTATAGAACCGCCAGCAAAGTCACTAAAAGTACTAGCTTCATCCTGTTGTGTAGATAATCAATTCTTCTTTCCAAAAAACGAAGCACGTGAAAGCTATCGCTCGAGAAGACGAACGAAGATGGTATCAAATTTCTTCTCTGTTGATAGATCCTTTTTCCTTCCAATTTCAATTTATAGAAACCTCTGTTATTCTCGAATTAGGCAATAATCTTCCGAGAGACGAACTTCGACGCGGGATAGACCCGCGCACTGATTCTTGATTCAAACTACTAGATAGCAAAGGATGTGGTTATGGTTCGCGGCTATGGTTGCTCGATATAACGCTGGTCGTTCTCGTGAAGCGATTTTATTCGCGTTTGCTAGAGTTTGCCGATTTTTAATTGTAATAAAATACACGCGTGCTATCTCTCGTTCTTCGTTCAGTGATAGTTGTGTACCAAACCCGCGATACTACTGACCGTATACATAGACTGTCGCCTCGTATAGAATGAAGAGACTTGCGAGATGCCGCGGGTTTATATAGGCTGAGTTGGCGGAGTGGGGGTTCGCGTTTCTTCTGTTTCGTCGGTCGATTCGAAGATCGTTTCATGGGGTTAATTTCGAGCTACCAGTTGATCAATTTCGAGGAAAAAAAAAAAAAAAATATGCGTTACATATATGACAATGGTGGAAAGATGGATATTCATGATTATGCCGATTGATAAAGTTGGTAAGTTGGAGAGCTGGAGATTTTCATATGTGCGAGATTGGGAAAGAAATTCGTTGTGATTTTTATTTTAAAAAATTTGGTAAAAAATCAAAGGGATGTTACTTTCTTCGTTTTGGAAATTATTTTTAATTGGATTAAATAAAGTTTAAATCCTTGCGAGTGGATGGATTTAATAGATCTGGAAGAATTAGGAAGAGATTTATAAAACATTTTTTCTGATTGGTTTTGCGATTTCATTTGTTTTGTGACATTTCTCGTTCCATTTTTCTATTGAGTAAACAAATTTTCTACGTCAACACTTGTTGTGCCATTTTTTATTATAAATCATTTTGTTGTTATGTCTGTGGAATTATTGGATCATATTCACTGAATGGTTGTAACGATTCGATCATGTATTCGAATGTCACGTTGCAAAAATATTTTGCTTGTTCTTAGCTTTCGGTTATCGTTTAGAGTTTATTGTTACCTGAACCAACTTATTACTCACTGACTATACAAAATTATATCATAAAATATATCTTGGTATTCCGTTATTTTAAATTTTCGTTTTTTTCCAGTTTAAATATCATTTAGATTAGATTTATACTTTATTTACACTTTCAATTTAAAAATTTGAATATTTTGTTAAATTGAATTTATCTTATATATATTTATATCTCGTCCATTCCAATATAGATATTTTCCAATGTACGTTTCTATTAATCATTTAAACTGCAAAGCATTAGTCAAACACTGATTGCAAGCCAGAAAAATGATGACGTCGATAGATCATTTGTGTACTCGTAAAGGAAAGATCAAACGCATCGCGCTGTCGGATTGGATTTAGTGAAACGAAAAGTCGTACGATTCGAGGCTAATCTCGATTATGTAACCTTGATCTTTTCCATCGATCGGAAAAAAAATTAAATCCATTATCGAAACAAATTTATCACGTTTTATCATATTTTCTTCGACTACGAATTTCCAAAAAAAAGAAAAAAAAAAAAGAAGAAAAAAAAATCCCAAGATTAAGCATCCATTCCTTTGCTTAATTACGATTCTCATAGATAAATTTCCTATACAATCGAATTTCTACCATTGATCTCGTTGCTCCGATTTAAAAAGTTTCCTCTTATTTTCCATCGATTCCATCTCTCGAATATGAGTCACGGTCATTTTTAATAATTCCACGATTGAAAATCCCCGCGATGAAACCGCTTCGAACCGCTTTCGATCGGCTTCGAATACGGTAGTCCGATTGATCAGCATGTCGGACGTGGCTTCTGCCACGATGATCGAAGCACATCGATCGATGATAGCGTTGTTTATTCGGCACCGGCATTTTAGTTGGACGACAGATAAACGCACGTGAGTCAGAAGTGCAGAGGCTTGACGGGGGCTTGTCAGCATCTCGACCAATGGCACACGGCCTTAAACGTGACGCCTGGTCGCATCATGTGCGGAGGACACGATCTATCGTGCCTCATTGACTTGCTCCGTGATCGCACCGTCGATTTCGCATTGGACATCGAGCGTGAATCGAAGCGAATCTCGTGTTTCTTTCACACGGGATTCTCGTGTCAATGAGATACGGAGTTGCGATTTCTTTTCTTGTTCAACATCGTTTTCATAGTTGAAAGATTTTTCGATTTTTCATTTTTTGAAAATATATAATTCTTGTTTTAATTATCGTTCGATTTATTATCGATTTTTTAATTAATTTTCCGAGTATAGTTGCAAGATCTTATCAATTCAATGTCGTGATTTATCAGTATTCGGTTGATTTCAAGATTTTTCGATTATTTTTCTAAATGCAATGGAATTTTTACAACGAAATTTTCAAAATTCGTTCGATTATTTGAACACTTAATAGAGAAATGTCATCACAATAATATAAATATTTGTAAGTAATAGTAACGTTCTATGTAATCTAAAAAATTAATTAAACTTATGTTTGAATTCACTTCGAGCCTGATGTTAAAAATAATGGTAAAAATTAGTGAATATTATTATTTACGAATGATTTGATGTTTCGATTTATTAGAACACGATTTTATTTGTTAAAAATCACAGGTAAATCTTTCGATCGGATCTATCGGTCATATGAATAGTTCAGATCGATTGTATAATCGAATCGTATAATAAGAATCATAAATAATCGATGAACACAATCGATGAATATATGATTCGCCTATTTAATTTGAAATTCTAAATCCTTTCGTAGAATTGATCGATAATGAAATTTGACGAGTCATAAATCATAAAATTGCTAATATTAATAGTCAAAGATCTATGATGGATTGTATTGTGCGAGGGAACCTTCAGTTTGGGCCTTTTTATTTTGGGCTCGTGGAATAGGCCTACTCTCTACTCAAAGAATCTAAAAAAAAAAAGAAATTTTAGATGACTTATAACTTTTATCGAAACGCGATGAACGAAATTCCTTTATCCTTTATCCTATCCAAAGAGGAAATAAAAGGATCAAAAGACGGATAAAAAGAAACAAGTGACAACCGAAAATAAAATCTTCCACGATCGATTTGCATTTGCAGTTTAATCGCTTTTAGATGCGGTTAATAAAATTGTAAAGCGACGATAGGAAAAAGAAAAGCACGGGTTTCCATAAGAAAGATCGCAAAAGCGGCATTTGCAGATAGGAAATCCTAGCTTGCGTGGTATAAGGCGCGAGACTCGTGATAAAACGGCTTGATATACGATGCAATACGCGCCTGTTCTGTTCCTCTTTCGGTGGTCTCTCTATGTCAACGATGGGTTGCATCATTCGCGTAACGTAAGACGTAAGAAATTCGGTGAGCGCATATTTTTACAATACTCGAAACTCCGCGTTTCGATATCGAATTTCGTGATCGCAGGACTGATTACGTGTTTTTCGAAAACATGTGGAATTCAATGTTGCGACTTTGGAAGGACACATCTCGATTAAACTTCGCAATATTCCAATACTCAATGGAAACAGCTGATCACAACCGAAGATCGATTCTGAAAATTTGGAAATTTGAATGATTTTGGATTGAATCAATGCGTGAAAAGTATATTTTAAAAACTAATTTGTTAAAGATATTTTTTCATTTATTATTCTCAAACCCAAGAAATCGATCGTTGTCAACGATAAATCAATGTGTTTGAATTTATAGATAATCTTAACGCAGCAAGATTTATCTGTCCAAATTTCCTGCAATATCACGTTTCCTGGTAAAAGATCGAGTTTGAAAAGAAAAATTCCATCAAGATTAAGGAGAGAACACGAGTTGAGCAAAGCGGGCACACATTCAACCGTTCGAATTTTTCCGGAAAAATTTTTCACGTTAATTCATTAAAGTCCCATTAGGCGTACGATCATCCTCTTTCGTCATTTTCGAAACATCGTTACGACGCCGACTCGAAAACTCGATCGAGTTTTGCTTGGCATTGAACCGGGTTGGACAAGGCCGCGTGCTCGCGTGCTAACGATTTATACTTGATTCGTAATCGATTTGATCGGCCTTGGGTAATATAATCGCTCGTGTGTTCCAGCTGGCGATTCGGCTGAATAGAGTTACGCGTGGGGATGTCACATGTCCGTATCAGTCCTCAGCAAAACTGAACACGGGACACCTTTAACAAGACACACGAGAAGGGTCCCTGACAAACGCCAAAATGCTTTTGCGACTCGAATAACGCTGCGTCATTCCGGCTCCATGCGTGCAAAGCTAATTAATGCCATTTCGTCACGTTCCGCACCCTTGTGCACCCCTCGTCTTGCCGCCCGAAATCTTAAGTCTCGAAAGGACGTTTCTTGCAACCAATTAGTTAGGATGATTTAGTGGAACGGTTCGCGCATATTTCTTCTTCGTGATGGAAGACAAATGTCCTCGGGATGTTAATACATATATCCTTCCAGGAATCCATCTTAACCCTTTCACCGACAAATAACTCGAACAGATTAGTCCATCTCGAGATTTATCCCCATCATTTTTTTTCTAGTCTTCATTATGTCCTAAGCTTTATTCGTCGCCCCTACGATTTTTAATTTTTATTCGAGAATTTTCAATTCACGCGATTGTTTCGATTTCAAATTGATGTTAGAAAGTTGTATTTAAAGTTGTTTAGGAAAGGAAAATTTTGATTTTAGAACTTGATCGATGTTCGTGTAACAATTAAAAATATTGGGAAAAAAGTATTTTAAATTTTGTCCTGTCGTTTAGTAG